AATAAAAATATTTTTCAAATTGATCTATTTAAGGTTGCATATCATTCGACTTTCTATATGAACGATTTACCTAAACTCTTATAATTGGCAACTCTTCTAGATTAAGTTTGAATTAATTAATTAATCTGTCACTAAATTCCAGAGCTTAATTAGTCTTCGATCCGATGCGCAATGATAGGATCAAGAACAGATTAAGTAACTGTTTAACGAAAAATCAGGCGTGTAATCAATAAGATTCAAAAACAAAATTATAACCACCGTGTCCCGTATATAAATATGGGCATGTATCATTACAAAAAATTACACAACAAACATATATACAAAGAAGATCAAGAGAAACCGTACGTTTATAAAAAAGACTCCTTTTTTTTTTCCAAAAATGGAGATCGTTAGAATCGCCGTCGCCCTCTTTCTTGTGTTTTGCTCCGTAACGGCGACTAACGCCGCGACTGCGCCACCGAGCGGAGGAGATGCGCACTCGCTGCCGTGTATACAGAAACTGATGCCGTGTCAGCCGTATCTTCACTCCGCGACTCCGCCGCCTCCTCCGACGTGTTGTATGCCGTTAAGAGAGATCGTCGAAAACGACGTGACGTGTCTTTGCGCCGTTTTCAATAACGTCGATATGCTTAAATCGCTTAACCTCACTAAAGATAACGCTCTTGTTCTTCCTAACGCTTGTGGCGCCAAAGCTGACGTGTCAAAATGCAAAGCCAGCTCCGGTGAGTATTAACTTACTAACGACGCCGTTTTGTGTTTTGGTTTTTTTTTTTTTAAAGTCTAATGCGACGCCGTTTTCGCACTGTTGATTTTGTGTTTGACAAAAGGAGGTACTACTTCTCCGTCTTCGACGACGACGTCGCCGGCAACTCCGATGACTCCTCCGGCATCTTCCACCGGTATATCTACAATATATTCAAATATTCAAAATTTTAAAAAATTAATTGACATGGTTCTTATACGTTTTTTTTTTTGCTTTCTTCCTTCGAAATTCCTTTTTTTTTTAATTACGATTGTGGTTATTTAATTTGGTTTGAAAAAACATATGAACAGGAAGCGGTTCCACCGGAGATTCAGCTCCTTCGACGGCAAAATCATCTGACTCGGCTCCGGCTATCAACTTCGTCAGACTTAGCTTTGCATCGGCTATGGTGGCAACACTCTTCTTCTGATTTTTCTATATTTATTACGTCTTTTATTAGTTAGGTTTAAAAATGTTGGAAAATGATCAGATGTTTCGGTAATTTTTTTATTTCAACTAGAGGTTATAACTTCATTATTTGATATGTGCTATGGATTTCAAATAAATAGTAATAACTTCCAACAACTCTTTACATTCTGTCTTAAAACTCGTTTTGCTAATGTCTTCTAATTAGCATAAGCAACTAGGATTATACTAACAAAAGCAGGCCAATATAAATAACTTTTCCGTATTTACAAACTCACGAGCATGTATATGCTATTTCTCAAAAAACAAACATGTATATACTACGTAATTGAAAATGAGTTATGATACGTTACCGGTGGCGTTACAGTATAACTTTAGCTTCGCATCGGTTAAAAATACATAACGTTTTGGAAGCTGGCCTTTGAGCTCCTTTCAAGATTTTGACGTTTGCAACTCCCAGATATATGTAATAATTAACTATATTCTCTATTTTAAATATGTTGACAATAGTAAATTAAGATCCCGTTTTTCCTTTTAATTCTGGTTGATGTGTTTATATAATGTTATCCGAGTGTTTGTGACTCTGTGTAGTAAAAGTATTGATATGATTATATATCTTAGTCTATGTCTTAGGACAGTTCATCAAATGGATTCGATTTAGTTTATAATAATTCAGAGATTGAAGCAAAAAAAAAAAGCAAGAAACTACAAAACAAGTATAGTATGAAGTCCAGGGCACTTTACAAATAAAATCACATAATTCGAAACATCGTGATCTCCGACAGCGACAAATCCATATACGCAAGTAGACATACAGCCATATAAGCATATACCATACACATTATAGTGTTTACGTATCTACGATATATATAAACTAGGGATTGTCCACGCGTTACGTGGATTTAAAAATTAACATGATAAAATATATAATAGTTTTTCCTCATTGATTATTTGTAAATTTAATATTAAAGTCATTTGGTGTTTATAGTATATAATTATCTAGGTTCGAAAACTAAACATTTATAAAAAATTATTATTGATACAATGTTATATGTAAAAATATCGTTCATTAATAAAAAAATTTATATGAATGGACATAAATTTGTAGGAGACATATATTATGTGAGATCATACAAATATAACGTAAACTTAAAAAATATGTTTAGTCTTTTTTTCTTGCATCAAACACGTTCGTAAAAAAAATTATTAGTCTGCATCATCTCAACAAAAATGTTGGAATGCGTCTCTATATCTATTTCGTTAGAACTTTGAACAAAAAGAATCATCGTTACTTGATTGTATTCTTGTTTTTTTTTATTGTTTTGCTGTGATTTTTATCTTTCACATTGATTCATTAGAGTGAATTCTGTTTTTTTCATCATTATTACAGTATGGAAGGAATAATAAAAATGAAAAGAGTTTTTCTCAAGTAACATAAATTTTAATTGCACTAATTTGTTATTAAGTTTAGTGAAAAAAACTTTAATTATCACAGAAGTATATTGTTGGGTTCAATAAATAAAATATCTATTTTCTAAAACATTAAAAAAATTTTATAATAACACATTTAATTTGAAATCATATTTTTTGCCAATATAGAAAAAAAGACAATGTCTAATATATATTATAACTTCTTATAATTAATTAACATTAGAATTAGCTATTAAATTGTTGGAATTAATTGTCTAAGTTATTAGAAAGAGAAAAAGACTTATAATTTTAATTTTCTCTTAAATAAATAAATTAAAAAGACATGATAAAAATAGGTGACACATAGCAGCCTCTCATAATTTCAACTAAAAACAACCT